CTGCTGGGCTGCTAACTGCAGGTCAGTTCTTGATCTCCTCAGCTCTTGATTCCTGGTATGTTTGCTGACTCATATCCTTGCCTGGAGCCTTCAGATTCTAGGAACTGACATCTGTCATACACACTGGAGCTGCTGTTTCTAATCAGTAGCGTACATAACTTGCCATCATTTTTCTTAACTCTCGGTCTTTTGATATTTTCCCTTTCTCCACTCAGGAACGGAATCAGATAACCAGGGGGGTATCATTCAAGAGATAGCACTTGCCATTCTGCCTAACTTTCTCATAGTGTCACTTGGAAGAAAAACTCAGGGTATATCTGGTAAGAGTAAATAGTTGTCAGTCAGGCACAGGAAGTCACAAAGAGGCAGCTTCAAACTGGCTCTGGTATGTTGTTAAATAGTACATACCTGACCTCTCTTACAGAGATTTTGGAGCACCCTGATTTGGAGGGAAGGGTCACCCCTGAATCAGAACTTGTGGGAGAATCTGCTAGGCATTTATTTAGCATAAAGGCAAAATGCTTCCTGGTGACTTGCTTAAGGACAGGCTCCTAAGAGGAAGGGGCTTCCTGTGAGCCTTTCTTATCTTGTTTCCTCTACAGTTCGGTTCCTAACCATTGCACTGTCAACTTTTCCATCCTGGTGTCTCTACCACGCTTGAAATTTCTAACCTTACCCACTGATACCGATTGGCTCATCCTCATGCTCTTTCCCTATGCCCTTTTTGATTTCTCCTCACTTGTAAAAATAAATCTAGACAAGGAAGAGGAGGACTTTGTTAAGTCATATTGTGTCAGTAAGAAAGGGTCATCCTGGTTTTCCTTTGGAACGTGTACTGCTGATATCCATCCTCTTGTTGCTTCTCTGCCTCCACCCCTCCCCCTGCCCCAAGATAGCCTTGGTGAATTTAGCTTTGGTAGTTTTTCTGATCCCTTTCCATTGTAACAATATGTCTTAAACTACATGAGACTTTTGCATACTATTTGTTTTGTCACTAGCCATTCATTTCTCATGAGTACCAGGAAAATTGTTGGGGGGAGGTCAGATGGGTGGGGTTTTGAAATAAGGTTAAAGAATGGTGTCAGTGTGAGCAGAGCTGTCTTGGTGATCCCAGTGTATGGACACCAAGAACACCTACGTTTATATAGATGTTTAATGTCGGTAAAAAGGGTGTATTTATACTGTAAATTCAAGTTCTTAAAACTCAAGCATTGGGAGCTGTGGATATGGCTAAGTGGTAGAGTACTTGCCCTGCCTGCTCAAGGCCTGCCCAGGGTCCACCTTTACCACTGCCAAACAAACTCAAAGCATTCTACATAAGGCCAAGAGTAAGGTGTCAGCATTAAATTTACCAGTCACTTCTAGCTGTCACACTGTTTGGAAATGATAGTAAGTTTTCAACAACTATTTTGCATTTGGCCCATTTCTAGATGACAAGGACTGTTTTCTGTGTTTTATACTGAGGTAGGAGAAGGCAAGAGGATAATTTCTAATGAAAAATGTTTAGCTTAATCAGTGGGACCTTTTAACTCTTGATAACTGCTGCCTATTACATACAAAATTCTCAGCAATTTGCAATGACTTTAACCAAATTTATTTTGGTAGTTTTAGAAAAATGAAACTTCTAAGTTTTGAATGGTCAGGCATGGTGGCACACGCCTTTAATTCCTGCAGAGGTAGGCAGATCTCTGTGAATTTGAGGCCAGCCTGGTCTACATGTGAGTTCCAGGCCAGCTGGGGCTACAGGGAGACCCTGTCTCAAAAAGACAAAAAAAAAAAAAAAATTTTTTTTTTTGATAAGAAACATATATAATAGCATTTGAACTCAAGGCTAGCTTCGTCTACATAGAAAGTTCTAGGCCTGTCGGAGCTGCATAGGGACACTCTCTCAAAAAACAACAACAAAAAGACCTAACAGTAAGTTGTCCTGAGAGCATGTAATCACTTAAATTTGGTTCATAAAATAGTGACCAAAGAAGAACTCAAACCCATAATGAAAAAAAAATGAGTTTGACATTTGCTTGATAATTTGGGTAAAGTGAAACTTGTTTAAAGACCTTGAGGTGACTTTTTAAAGTATTTTATAATCTCCTGTGGACATTGCATCCCAGAAAAAGACAAAGAGGCTTGTGCTGCCCAAATTATCAGCCTGAAATTTATGATAGAAATTTATTAAACTTACCAGCTTAAATTTATGATAGAAATAAGTGAAAATTTTCTAGAAATCAATGCTATGCTACTAGATTTGATATCTGAGCATTATGATTACAAGAGCATTTCAGTGTCAGAATTCACTTCCTCAGCATGCCTCTTTTCCTGTGCCTCTGGTTGAGGACAGGCTTAGGAGTAGAAGGGAAGATTGCTTCTATTGATGTATTCAATTTTATGAAGTGATGGTCTCTTAAAATTAGGCAGTCTTAGCTCCACTTGTTTCAAGTGATGGAAACCTTTAGCATTGACATTGTTCTGATTTCCCACAAGAAAAGTGTCCTGGTGGTGACTTTTGTTTCTAAGTGTTTACTAATTTGAATCATTATCATTAGGTATTCTCCAACTTGAATTATTTATTGAGTGCCTGAATTAAAGTTATTAACTTGAATTTGCTGTTATTCTAGGTAGATGCTTGTAAGTTAATTTCCTTGTGGGGGGCTCTTAGGCCTTTTGAAGTGATTTGGTTTATCAGGTGTTCGCATAAGATAAGTGTTAACAACCCAACCCCCAACCAAACTTTATCGTAGTTATTGAGTTGTGCTTGCTCAGTACAAAGTAATTCAGATGGAATACCAGGAGCTGGCTGTTCTGTCCACAGCCAGCCACTTGAAGAGACTGTTGGGAGAACATGAGGTGGTATTAATCTGGTGCAGAGCATCTGGAAGCACTATCAGTTTCATGTTGACCCATAATCATCCAACTACTCTGTGCTCCTTTGTGTACAGAAGACATTGAGAAAGGTGTTGTGGATGAATAGACTCTCCTGCCATGTGATGATCTTAAAGTCCAGAGCTGTGCCAGGAACCATGTGTACATTCTGTTGGATGCAGTACTACTGTAGTTTTTTTGGAAATCAGCTTCCAGCAGTTAAGAACTGATGCTAACTTTTTGAGGTTTTGGTGGCAAAATGCTTTTCTAGACTTAGATAAACCTTGTACAAATGTAAATTTAGAAAACCTAGGGAAACAAAATTAGCTAGCAAGAAGAACATGTTTCACAATAGTATTTTGTCAGTGTGTATGTTAGTATATTTACAGTAATCCGTGCAGTAGAAATAAAAAAAAAGGACTTTGAAAAAACTCTTAATAGTGAAAATTCATTAAATGTTAGGTAGAAATCTTTCCCGACCAAAGGGTAGTTTCAGTTTCCTTCTATTTATATGTAATTATCAACTTGTTTTAAACTAGATATGTGGGCTTATTAAGATCCTTCAAATATTTTTAATAAATATTTTTACAACCATACTTAAAGTTATATTGTTAAAATAGGAATAAATGTAATTCAGATAATCATTAATTATTCACTGAAAATTATCTTTGTCTCATTTTGAATAAACACAAAGCTTTTACTTTAAAAAACATCCTTTTTGAGCAAGCATGCTGGTGTTGATTTAGAAGCAAAATGAAAATTCTCAGTGTGAAAATGTAGAAATGAAGGAAGGAAAGTCTTGTTTTCATTCTTATTTTTATCTGACAGTGATATTCAATGTAAGAATTTAAATAGAAGTTAATACACTTTATTTGGTATGAAATACTGTAGCTAGCAGTTATACATTCAAGTAAATTACAATTTTTTTCATATTTGGAGTATATGGAATGCCTGGTGTTCTGTCAGAAAATAAAACTGAGAAAACCGACTTCTGTTCTTTACTGCTTATTCTCATGTCACATGGAACACATCTTTTGTATTTCTCTGCCTCTGGCTTCTCCTCTGTAAAATGGGCTCAAGAATTTAATTGACTGTCTTCATCCCTTTCAAGAACATTGAGGACAGATACCTTGAAGTCTTGGAGGACAAAATGCTACCTTGTGTATTTTTTGATACTAACTTACCTTGTAAGTATGTGCTTTGTGTTGTACACAGTGGCGCGGTGTGACATTGTGAACTTTTTTTATGAGAATAAAAGTTATTTGCATGCTTTAATGTTAAATTGTAGTTCCATTATTAATGTCTTCTATTTTCTGAACTTGATTATCCTATCTCACTTGGTGGGGGCAATGTTCATCACAATGTAGTCTATAGAATCTGGTTGGGAGGCAGACAGGGGAGGGAAAGATGTTTTCTGACAGTCTCTTAGACCTGTGCAGAGAAGCTGTACAGTTTAACTAGGGATATACCCCAGGTCTGTGTTGTAGTGTCTCATCAGTTTAGGAATAGAAGAAGAGAGCCCCATTATTCACCTTAGTGTTTCTCCTGCAGGTTAGCTGACCTGCATGCCAAATCATGAATAAACAGTCAGGGAGAACTTTTTATTTTTGGTATATGGGAAGTTTGGTGAAGGAAGAGAGTCCCAATACAGGATCCGGAAGACCTGACTCCTACTGTGCACAAACTCTACACTAGTACTCATTTTCCTGTTCTGGACTTCCCTGTCTATCTAGAATGCTAGGTAGAGGGCTGTTGTTGCATTAAATGCTAGGTCTTTATAATTCTGAAATTATGATTAAAAGATATAGAGAGATGTGAAGCTGCCTGTGATTATCCTTATGAAAATTGCTATATTCTTTGATTTTCTTTGTATTTGCATGTGGGTGTAATTTTCACAGCCTGAGAACTTTTTTGTATAATTCCCACCATCATCAGTGAATGTGTGATTCAAAAGTCCTGTGCCCTCAAAAGAATTCCTCAGTGCTTATGTTGTTACTTACTGTTGTAAAGTATAAGGAAATATGGTTTTCCTGTCTGGCTAATATTTGTGAAGTTTGGTAATTTTCAGTCCCACAATAAAGGTTTTACTCCAGTTTCTAAAACTGCTTGTTTTTATGACATCCCTTGTTATTCTTTTCCAGAGAATACGGTCAACAGTGGATGAAAAAGAACAAAAACAACTTCTTATGGATTTGGATGTAGTAATGCGGAGTAGCGATTGCCCGTATATTGTTCAGTTTTATGGTGCGCTCTTCAGAGAGGTATGGATAAACTATTTGGGTTTTAGCTGATAAATGAATATCTGATTTGGACAAGTTGGAGGATGGCAGATTTAAATTCTAATCTTCAGCTTAGTGCCGTATATTAATAATGACTCAGTACCTCAGTATTGTGCATGGATCTATGTCAGTCTTTAGATGGACTCTCAGCATTCATTGCCCCTGTGGTTAAAGGATGAATAGCAGGTGCACAGTATAAATATTTCTTTGTATTTGTGGTATATCGGAATCCCATAATTTCTTCCATTATGAATATTTTCTGTTAAGAGTGTGACACATCTAAATGTCAGTACTTCAGTGTGGAGTTTTAAAAATATTTTATTATTTTTATTTTATGTGTGTGAGTGTATTGTCTGCATGTATGTGAGTGCACCCATGTTGTGCAATGCTGCGGAGGTGAGAAGAGGGCTTGTAGATTTTTAAAAATTTGCAATTTAAAAATGTTTTGGTTAGTAAAGAAATGGGTGCCATGGTGTCATTTTTATACATATGTCTCGTAGTTTCTTATTTGCCCATCACCTGCATTTCCCTACTCTGCTTCCTCCCTTTATCTAAATTTTCTTTTCTTTTCCTAATGCCCCCCTCCCCCTTTCGGCTTTCCTGTCATACTTTAGTACATGTCTTATCCATCTCTTCTTTCCCTTTAGACCCCTTTCTCTCCTCTCAGTCCCCTTTCTACCTCCATGTCCTACATTTATATGAATGTCTACTTTCTGCATATGGGAGAAAATATGCAGTGTGTCTTTCTTAATCTGGCTTATTTTGTTTAATACAGTGATTGCCTGTTTCATCCACTTTCCTGCAAATGAAATAATTTCATTCTGTAAAGAATAAAATTTCACATTTTTTAAACGTTCATCAGTTGACGGACATCAAGGCTGGTTCTATATCTTGACCATTGTGGATAGTACAGGAATAGACATGCATGTGCAAATATTATGTGGTATGTTAACTGAGATGCCTTCAGATAGTTGCCCAGGAGTGGTGTATCTAGACCATTTGGTAGTTCTACTTTTACTTTTTCTGAGGGTTCCCCATACTAATTTCCATAGTAGCTGCATAAGTTTACATTCCTGCCAGCATTTTCTAGGGGTTAATCTTTTTCTATATCTTCATAGTACTTTTTGCGTGTGTTCTTGATGATAGTCATTCTGACCGAGGTGAGATGGAATCTCAAAGCAGATTATTATTATTATTATTATTTATCATTATTATTTGGTCTTTTTGAGACAGGGTCTCCCTGTAGCCCTAGCCGGCCTGGACACTTTGTCCAGGCTGGCCTGGAACTCACAGAGATCCACTTGCCTCTGCCTCCTAAGTGCTGAGATTAAAGGTGTGCACCACCACACCTGGCTTATTATTACTATTTTTATTTTCTGTGTATGAGTGTATTGCCTGCATGTACATAAGTGCACTCGTGTCATACAGTGCCTGCAGAGATCAGAAGAAGGCATTAGATCCCTTGGAACTGTAGTTATGGATGATTGTTAGCCGCCATGTGAGTGCTGGGAATCGAACCTGGGTCCTCTGCAAGAGCAGCCAGTGCTCTTTACTGCTGAGCCATCTCTTTAGCCCCTCAGAGCAGTTTTAATTTGTATTTCACTGATGGCTAAGATTGTTGAAAACTTTTCAAAACGATTTCTTAGCCATTTGTATTTCTTCCTTTGAGAGCTGTTTATTATTATTAATTAACTGAATGATTTTTTTGGTGTTTAATTTTTGAAGTTCTTCATAGATTCTAGAATAGTAATCTCTTGTGAGATGTCTCACTGGTAAAAATGTTTCTCCCATTCTGTGGGGTGCCTCTTTACTTTATTCACTGCTTCCTTTAGTGTGCAGCTTTTTGACTTCATATAATCTCATTTGCCAGTTCTTAGAATTGCTTCCTGTGCTATTGCAGTCCTTGTTAGAAAGTCCTTGCCTGTGCCTCCATTTTGAAGTGTACTGTCTGTTTTCTTTTAGTAGTTTCAGGTCTTACATTAAGGTCTTTGATCCATTTTCTATTAACTTTTTGTACAGGGTAGAAGATATGGACCTAGTTTCATTCTATCACATGTTGCTATCCAATTTTCCCAGCACTGTTTGTTGAAGAGGCTGTCTCTTGTAGATTTATGGATTTATTTCTGGGTTTGTTCTTGTATGCCATTGGTCTGTGTGTCTGTTCTGTTACTATAGCTCTGAGGTATAGTTTTAGATCAGGTATTGAATGCCTCCAGCATTGGTCTGACTAGAAATGTTTTGGCTACTTGGTGTTTTGTTCACTTTTGTTGTTGTTTCTTTTTTACTAGTTCTGGGTGGAATGCTATTGGAATTTGGATGGGAATTGTGTTGAATCTGTAGGTCTCTTTGGTCATATAAATCTAATTATTCTTGCAATATTAAGTTTGCTAGTCTGTGAGCATAAGAGATCGTTTCATCTTCAGGTGTCTTTGGTTTCTTCCTTCCATGTTTTAAAGTTTTGTCCCCTTGATTAGGTTTATTACTAGTTATTTAATTGCTCATTTAAAATTTTTTATATTAATTAATAAATTTATTTTTTGTCTTTTTGAGACAGGGTCTCCCTGTAGCCCCAGCTGTCCTGGAACTCACTATGTAGAGCAGGCTGACCTTGAACTCACAGAGATCTGCCTGCTTCTTCCTCCCAAGTGCTGGGATTAAAGGCGTGCGCCACCACTCCCGGCAATTGCTCATTTTTTAAAGCTGTTTTGAGTGAATTTTTTTTTCTTTCTTTTTAAGCTTCATTTCTTTCTAGGAAAGTTCATTACTGGCATTTGGAAAAGCTACTGATGTTTTTTTTTAATGTGATGATTTTTTTTTTTTTAAATATATATCCTGCTACCTTGCTGTATTTATCAGATCTGGAGTTTTCTGGTAGAGTCTGTAGGGTCTTTTTAAGTATAGGAGCATGTCATCTGCAAATGGATTATTTGACTTCATTCTTCACTATTTGTATCCTTTTTATTTCTTTTGTCTTATTGTTCTGGCTAAGTCTCTGAACATTATATTGAATAGTAATAGAAAGTCTGGGCACCCTTGCCTCTTCTGATATTATAGGAAACAGTGTCCTTTTTTCTAATTGATTATAGTTTTATCATATTATATCCTTTATTATGTTGAAGTGTGTTCCTTTTACATTTAGTTTCTTCAGTGCTTTTGTCACTAAGGGATATTGAACTTTGTGAAAGGCCATTTCTGCATCCCTTGAGATGATCTGTGATTCTTACCATAAGTCTTATATACGCTGTATTACAGTATGTGTGTATGTGGGGCAATATTTGCATTACTGGAATCAAACCAACTTTATTAACATGTTCTTGAATTCAATTTGCAAATATTTTACTGAAAATTATTACATCTGTGTTCTTTTGGGTAGTTGGTCTGTGTGTGTGTGTGTGTGTGTGTGTGTGTGTGTGTGTGTGTGTCTGTCTGTCTGTCTGTCTGTCTGTCTGTGTCTGTGTGTGTGTGTGTGTATGGTTTTGGTTTCAGGGTAATACTAACGTAGAATGAGTTCAGTAGTGTTTCTTCTTTTTTTATTTTATAGAACAGTGAAAGGAGCTTTGATGTCAGGTCTTCTTTAAAGGCTTGGTAGAATTCAGCAGTCAATCTGTGCATCCTGGGTCTTTTCCTTGTTGGGAGGTTTTATTACCACTTCTGTCTCATTGCTTCTTATCAGTCTTTTTAGATTGTTTTTATCTTGATTTAATTTTGGTAAGTCATGTGTCTATAAATTTATCCATTTCTTCTAGATCTGGTTTGGGGGAAGCTTTCAAAGCATTCACTAGTGATCCTCTGACTTTGGAATCTGTTGTAGCATCTCCCATTTCAACTCTAATTTTATTAATTTGGTCTCTCTGTCTTTGGTAGGATTGGCTAGGGTTCTGTCAGTCTTGTTTATTTTATCAAGGAACCACTCTTTCTTTGATTCTATATATTCTTTTTGTCTCTATTTCAATAATTTCTACCTTGACTTTATTATACCTTGCTATCTGCTATCTTGAGGTTTAGCTTGTTTTTGTTTTGTTTTGTTTTATTTTTACTTAAAATTTTTTTTTATTTATTATTTTTGTTTTATGTGTATGTGTGTATTGCCTGCATGTAGGTAAGTGTACCCATGTCATGCAATGCCCACAGAGGTCAGAAGAGGCTGTCAGATCCCCTGGGACTGGAGTTAACAGAGAGTTGTTAGCTACCATGTGGGTGCTGGGATTTGAATCTAGGTCTTGTTTAAGAACAACCAGTGTTCTTAACTGCTGAGCCATCTCTCCAACCCCTTGTTATTTTTTTTTAAAGACCAAAATATATTAGGTTATTTATTTGTACCCCCCCCCTTTAAATGTAAATGCTCATAGCTATTAATTTTCCCCTGAGAGCAACCTTAGGCATATCCCAAAGGTTCTGGTAAATTGTGCTTTAATTTTCTTTTGGTTCTAGAAGTTTCTAGCTTCCTTCTTGATTTCTTCAATGATGTACTGTTCTTTCAAAAATGTGTTATTTGATTTCTTAAGTGTTCAGTTTTGTGGTGTCTCTGGATATTATTTTATTCCACTTTGATCTGATAAGGTACAAGAAGTTATTTTGATTCTTTTGGGTTTTTTTTTGAAGACTTGCTTGGTAGGTTAGAATGTGATCTATCTTGGAGAATGTTCCAGGGGCTGCTGAGAAGAATCCGAATTCCATATCTATCGTATGGAATATTCTGCATATACCTCTTAAGACCATTTGATTTATGGTGTAGCTTAACTCTGAGATCTTTTGATTTTCAGTTTGGATGAACTGTATAGCGGAGAGTGGATTATTAAAATCACTCACTATTAATTGCATAAAAGATCTGTCTGAGCCTTTATGCCCATTAGTGTTTCTTTTTATGAAATTGGGAGCCCTATCTGTTGGTACGTATGTACAGTGGTTATATTCTCTTGATGAATTCTTCCCTTTATTAGTACATAGTCGCCTTCTTTATCTCTTCTAATTATTCTGGCTGG